ACACACTCACACACACACTCACACGCACGCACACACAAACACACAGCGTCTGATTTGGACTAACCACAGGCACGGATGCACGTACACATGCTGAAGGCTGATAAATCGACTACCACAATTTTAACCTGATCACTCCTCCACATAGCTCACTGAAGCAGCTTTTTCTGGCCCGCGAATACCTACTCTTGATTATTCGATTTTTTTGGACATGCAAACCACACCACACACTCTGGCATCCACTAGCAGTAGGTAAACACCAGGGTGAATGAAAGAAGAGCTAAGAGAATGAGAAAGTGAACACGTGCGACTTATACAAATATAATCACGAATTCAACCTGCAACCTCTTGATGGGGAATCGACTGCACATACCACTGCACCATAAGGGACACACAATTCACACACGATGCACACACACTCACACACACACACACACACACACACACACACACACACACACACACACATACACACACACACACACACACACACACATACCGACATACGGACACACGTGAACACAGCGTCGTACCTCGGTGGGTTCTGGTAGGATGAGGATGGCCACGGTGCTGGTGTGACGACGACCCATGGCATCCGACTTTGGTACTCTCTGCACACGATGTACACCACTCTCGAACTATACAAAACAGTAAAAACAACAATGGTAACAAAAGAAGCAGCATTAATAATCTTGTTGTACAGAAGAATACAAGTCTTGCATTCTGAAAAATTGATAAATAAATCTTGAGCAGGGCTCAATCTGACTTTCATGCCGTGGAATGTCTCAGTACTCCTTGCAAGTTTTGTGCTACATTGTGCTAGTATAGAACTGTTCAAGATCTGGTCTAGTTGGTGGACTCTTGAGGCATAACTTGTGCCCCACTGTCTTCTTCGCTTACATCATTTTTAAATACTTCATTGGCTGCTTAGCTGAGTGTAACATAGTATTGGGGCTGGGTTTAGCATCACCTCTTGTCAGTTACATGTTCTCTGTACTAACCGCCGTACGATTAGATGAGAAGGCACAACTCCTTTTTTTAATGCATATACAGTAGGTATCGGTTATAGCGTGGGTGTTTGAAAAACGACATTTGATTCTTATTGCCGATATTTCTTACACACGATAAATCACGTGTGACATTATCATATGCACGTGTGACATATCATATGCACGCACGTTTGGTACACGGATCAATCAGACTCGCGGTCGTGCTAGGTGACTGCCGAGCAGCGGATACGAGAGAAGTCTGAAGAAAGAGTCCGACTGGACAGAAAAAGTGATTCTCCAATGCTCCCTTGGACATAACTCTCTTTTTGTGTTGAATATTATTGTATTGAGTATGCACAGAGCACAGATGCTATTACTACAGGCGATACACTTTGCACTAATCTGGCATATTTTGCTACACAAAATCCATTCTTAGGGCCGATATATTCTACTATGCGATAATACTGCTTGTAAGAATAAATATACACATAAAATATGTGTTATGATAATGAAAAAATGAGTGTTCATTCTTGTAAGCAGTATATTCTTGTATACGACCACACTATAACCGATACGCACTGTATGCCTATAATTTATCTGTGTAGACTCACAAGAAGTGTGAGTTTCAAAGTCTTAAGAAAAATGTTGAACGATCGTTGCTGGGATGACGACTACAACATAGCTTAGCGGTAGAGCAGCGCTAGCCATAACCAAGTGTCCCAGGTTCGAGACCTGGTGGAGGCAGTCAAGTTTTTCTTCGGACTTTTCCCGTTCCAATTCACTAAAACTTCTGAAAATCTAAGAAAGTAAAATAAAATTTATCTCTCAAACAAAAAGAAAAAAACCCCTGATAAAACTAGGTGTGCAGTGCAGGACAGTTTTGTTTGCACCCGTAATGATGCTCAGGGTAAGTTCTGGCCAAGGAGTGTAGTATGAACTCTTTTACGCACTTTACTTGTATGCATGCACGTGCCGTTGCGACACGTGTTCACGCCCGCCATGTGGTCTTTACACTCCGAGCATGCGGGCCCCTCAGGTACGCATGCGAGGAACTGATCATGGTTGTTCTGTTTTTCGTTAGTTAGGAGTTTGTTTGCACGAAATGAAGTAGAAGCCTTTTCGGTGTGTGTAGTTCTGTTGTTGTCGGACCTGGATGGTTGCTGTGCGATACACCCAAAACATGGTGGCAGCGGTGTTCTCGCGGTGCTAGCTTTCGGTTTTCTGTCTCCGTTTTCCGCGGATGGGTCCGAAAAAATCCAAGCCTCACGTCACGAAAGTAAATCCACCTCGTCCAGGTATCATGAGTTCTGACAACTCGGAGTCTCAAGCTTCTACCTCCGCCGCAACTGCCTCCGCCAGTCCGGCCGTAGATATCTCCGCGTTCTCGCAGCTGCCTCAGCTCCTGCAGGCTCTGATACAGCAACAGCAACAGCAGCAGCAACACCTCCAGCAGCAGACCACCGTTTCGACTGCTCTACTTCAGCATCTGTCTCAGCCGAGTCAGCCTCCCGCTCCGGCTTCGGTTTCTCCCGGGAATTTTCCCAAATTACAGCCTTTGGAGGACACCGACGATGCGGAGGCTTGGTTCCTTACCGCCGAACGCCTGCTCATTGGTTACGGCGTGCCTCCCGATCGGCCAGCCTTGGCGATCGTACCCCACCTCAAGGGCAAAGCTCGCAGTGCTTACAATAATCTGCCCGTGGGTGACTCGAAGGATTTCGTTCTCATCAGAACTGCAGTACTCGCGCGTTTCCGATTGGACGCGGAGGAGTATCGCCTGAAGTTCAGGTCCATAAATTTGTCCTCGCCTGGCGAGACGTACATGAAACTCCACCACCGGCAGAGGGATTTGTTCGAAAAATGGATCACTCACGCAATTGCGTCTGGAGGCACAATCGATGTTCCGTTCGTGACTGACCAGATAGTGCGCGAGCAGCTGCTCTCCACCCTGCCTGCGGAAGTGCGCCGGCATGTACGGGAGCAACCACGAGTGAGTGCTACTGACACAGGCAAGCTGGCTGACGCGTTTGCGCGCGCGCAGTCAGACCTGAGCCGGACTGCTCCACCGCTAGGAGGTGCTCCAGTAACAGTACACGCCGTCCAGCATCGTGGGTCATCTGGCAAACCTACGTCCTCCGAACGTGGTTCCACCTCTAACGCCTGTGGATACTGCGGAGGCAAATCCCACGCACGCTCAGCCTGCCCGGCACGCGAAAAAACGTGCAACAAGTGCAACAAGCGCGGGCACTACGGCGCTGTCTGCCGCTCATCCCGCCATGCCCGTGCGCTATCGGCCGAGTCTTTGCCGGGCACCGATGCCGTCGCTTCTCCCAGCTCCGTGTCTGAGGAATCTATTGATCTGGTCCCCATCTACGTTGGTGCCGTATCCGCGCACCCTCCCAGCTGGCAGGTTCAGCTCACCATCAATGGCACCACCGTTCCATTCAAAGTCGACACCGGTGCCGATGTGTCTGTCATCTCCGAGGAGGTCTACAACTCCCTTAGCACATCCCCGCAGCTCCAGCCTTGCCGGCACGTTCTCGTCAGTGCAGCCAACACCAACCTCGAGACATTGGGCCTCTTCTCCGCGCGGCTCGTCTTTCCCACCTCTGGTTCTTCACACACTTGCACCGTGTACGTTGCCAGAGGCCTGCGCGTATGTCTCCTAGGGGGCCCTGACTCCGTCGCTCTTGGTCTAATCAAACGTTTGTTCTCCAGCGACACCGCGTCCGCTACACCACTTTCGACCGCTCCGGAGCCCAGTCAATCCACGGACGATGCGCCGGGTAGCTACTCCTCAGCTCCCGCCGAGTCAGAACCTCTGCCTCTGACAACTCCTGGCGACGCTATCCCACAAGACATACGGCAGGAATTTCCGTCACTCTTCTCTGGTCTTGGGTCACTCAACGAGCCGTACAACATCGAGCTCTCACCTGATGCCAAGCCATCGTGTCTCTACGCTGCGCGAAACATCGCACTGCCGCTCCGCTCTAAAGTGGCCACCGAGCTTCAGCGCATGGAACAGCTTGGTGTAATCCGCCCTGTCGTGGAGCCCACTGACTGGTGTGGTGCAATCGTGGCCGCACCTAAGTCCAACGGCACGGTACGCATCTGTGCTGATCTGAAACCTCTGAACGAAGCCGTCCGACGGTCACACCATCAGCTGCCAACAGTAGACGAAACTCTTGGCCAAATCGGCGACTCAACGGTGTTCACGAAGCTCGATGCCAACAGCGGGTTTTGGCAGATCCCGCTGGACAGTCCCTCCCAGCTTCTAACCACCTTCATCACCCCCGCTGGTCGGTTTTGTTACACGAAGTTGCCGTTCGGCATTTCCTCTGCGCCTGAGATATTCCAGCAGCGCATGTCGAAGATCCTGGCTGGCCTGGAGGGTGTGGTCTGCCAAATGGACGACATCCTTGTCCATGGCCGCACTCGTGCCGAGCATGATAGTCGTCTCTACGCGGTGCTCCGACGCCTGGTGGGTGCAGGGCTAACCCTCAATCCGTCGAAGTGTGAGTTCGCCGCCTCCGACCTGTCCTTCTTGGGAGTGCGGCTCACTGCTGCCGGCATTCAACCAGGTGACAGCAAGACCTCTGCTATCCAGCGCTTCCGTCAGCCTCAAACCGTCTCAGACATCCGCAGGTTCATGGGTCTGGCGAACCAACTGGGAAAGTTCTCTCCCAATCTCGCCGCCCTCAGCCAGCCACTGCGAGAGCTGTTGTCTAAAGGTCGCGCATGGACTTGGGGTCAACCACAGCAGGCAGCCTTCGACAACATCAAGGCAGAGCTCTGCAAGCCAGCCTGTCTGCAGCGCTACGACCCCAACTACGACACCAAACTATCTGCCGACGCCTCGTCCTATGGCCTCGGTGCCGTGCTCTACCAGCGCCGGTCCTCAGATGATGAGTGGTGTCCCGTCGCTTGCGCATCCCGGTCTCTCACATCGGCCGAGCGCAACTACGCCCAAATCGAAAAGGAAGCTCTCGCGATCACTTGGGCTGTTTCCCGCTTTGACACTTACCTGCTTGGCATGGCGTGCTTCCTCATCGAGACGGATCATAAGCCTCTCGTACCTCTTCTCAGCACGAAGCGCCTACACGATCTCCCAGCGAGAGTCCTGCGCTTCCGACTCCGCCTGGCACGATATCACTACCAGATCATTCACGTTCCAGGGAGCTACCTCACCAGCGCCGACGCTCTCTCACGCGCCCCTCAAGACGACTCCCCGAGTCGGGATGACATCACCATTCAGGCTGAGTGCGACGTGTTCGCTACTATCGCAGTCGAGAATCTAGCCGATCAGACCGTCCCGACGCAGCAGGTTAGAGACGCCCAGCAACAGGACGCTACATGTCAGCAGCTGCGAACCCTCATCCTCGACGGCTGGCCCTCCGCTATCCGCGATGTACCGCAGCCCCTCCGTGAGTTCTGGCCTGTCCGCTCTGACCTCGTCCTGCTCGATGGCCTGATTATGAAAGGCTCCCGGATCTATATTCCCCAGTGCTTGGTGGCCGATACTCTTCAGCGTCTTCACGCCGGTCACCAAGGCGTCACCCGTACAACCCAACGCGCCACAGTGTCAGTCTGGTTTCCTGGCATCACCGCACGCATTAAGGCTCTCGTGCAAGATTGTAGCACTTGCAAGGCCTTCCGCCCGCCGCCGGTCGAGCCACTGCTCGCTCACCCCACACCGCCTCGCGCGTGGCACACCATTGGCGTGGACCTCTGCCAGCTCGACCGCGCTCAGTACCTGGTGGTGGAGGACTATTATTCCCGCTATCCAGAAATTGCATCCCTCACTTCCACGACATCAGCACGGATCATCGACCATCTCCACTCAATCTTCGCCCGACATGGCATTCCAGCAGTCCTTCGATCGGACAACGATCCCCAGTTCTCGTCCGCTGAGTTTGCCCAGTTTGCAACCAGGGCCGGCTTCCGTCACATCACGAGTAGCCCTCACTACGCACAGTCGAACGGCGAGGTTGAGCGTGCCGTCCGCACCGTGAAGGCGTTCCTGAAGAAGTCCGCCTCAGCAGCTGACTTATATGATGCCTTGCTGGCATATCGGTCGACACCCCTCAGTTTCGCGCCGTACAGCCCGGCGGAGCTACTCATGGGTCGCCGCCTCGCAACGCCGATTCCATCACAGTCAGCCCAGCTCCAGCCCAGCTCAGTGGACACGGATGCCTTCCGTGCAGCCGACACAGCGCAACGCCAGAAGTCCGGAGCTCAGTACGACCTGCGGCACAGAGCGACTATCCTGCCCGCTCTCCCCCCAGGCGCGGACGTGATCGATGTCTCGACTCCAGGTCGCCGGGAGAGGGGTACAGTGGTAGCAAGATCAGCTGAACCCCGATCCTACATAATCCAGTTGTCATCCGGACAAGTACGACGAACCCGGCATCACCTGATCGCTATCTGACTCTCTCTCTCTCTCTTCCAGTCACTTTCTCACTGTGTGTTCGAGCACGTATGCACGTGCGTTTGTGTGTGCGTGCCGATATGTGTCTGTCTTTCTCTCGCTTTCTCTCTATTCCTGTTGCTACTTCGAAGTAGTACCTTTACGCGGCTGAATAGTAGGCTTTGACTCCTCACGCTCTGGTTGGGCGATCCTGGATTAGGACGCTACTCTCAACCTCCTATTTCCTGGTCGCTCAATCATAACGCATTGCAAGAGTCCTTGTTCTCTCATGTGTATTGGCCCGCCGTCTTACTCAGTATTGTTTCTACCGTTCCGCATGTTTTTCACTTTCCCATCTTTAGTTCCTCTAGCTCCCCGGAGGGGGGAGATGTAGTATGAACTCTTTTACGCACTTTACTTGTATGCATGCACGTGCCGTTGCGACACGTGTTCACGCCCGCCATGTGGTCTTTACACTCCGAGCATGCGGGCCCCTCAGGTACGCATGCGAGGAACTGATCATGGTTGTTCTGTTTTTCGTTAGTTAGGAGTTTGTTTGCACGAAATGAAGTAGAAGCCTTTTCGGTGTGTGTAGTTCTGTTGTTGTCGGACCTGGATGGTTGCTGTGCGATACACCCAAAACATGGTGGCAGCGGTGTTCTCGCGGTGCTAGCTTTCGGTTTTCTGTCTCCGTTTTCCGCGGATGGGTCCGAAAAAATCCAAGCCTCACGTCACGAAAGTAAATCCACCTCGTCCAGGTATCATGAGTTCTGACAACTCGGAGTCTCAAGCTTCTACCTCCGCCGCAACTGCCTCCGCCAGTCCGGCCGTAGATATCTCCGCGTTCTCGCAGCTGCCTCAGCTCCTGCAGGCTCTGATACAGCAACAGCAACAGCAGCAGCAACACCTCCAGCAGCAGACCACCGTTTCGACTGCTCTACTTCAGCATCTGTCTCAGCCGAGTCAGCCTCCCGCTCCGGCTTCGGTTTCTCCCGGGAATTTTCCCAAATTACAGCCTTTGGAGGACACCGACGATGCGGAGGCTTGGTTCCTTACCGCCGAACGCCTGCTCATTGGTTACGGCGTGCCTCCCGATCGGCCAGCCTTGGCGATCGTACCCCACCTCAAGGGCAAAGCTCGCAGTGCTTACAATAATCTGCCCGTGGGTGACTCGAAGGATTTCGTTCTCATCAGAACTGCAGTACTCGCGCGTTTCCGATTGGACGCGGAGGAGTATCGCCTGAAGTTCAGGTCCATAAATTTGTCCTCGCCTGGCGAGACGTACATGGAACTCCACCACCGGCAGAGGGATTTGTTCGAAAAATGGATCACTCACGCAGTTGCGTCTGGGGGCACAATCGATGTTCCGTTCGTGACTGACCAGATAGTGCGCGAGCAGCTGCTCTCCACCCTGCCTGCGGAAGTGCGCCGGCATGTACGGGAGCAACCACGAGTGAGTGCTACTGACACAGCCAAGCTGGCTGACGCGTTTGCGCGCGCGCAGTCAGACCTGAGCCGGACTGCTCCACCGCTAGGAGGTGCTCCAGTAACAGTACACGCCGTCCAGCATCGTGGGTCATCTGGCAAACCTACGTCCTCCGAACGTGGTTCCACCTCTAACGCCTGTGGATACTGCGGAGGCAAATCCCACGCACGCTCAGCCTGCCCGGCACGCGAAAAAACGTGCAACAAGTGCAACAAGCGCGGGCACTACGGCGCTGTCTGCCGCTCATCCCGCCATGCCCGTGCGCTATCGGCCGAGTCTTCGCCGGGCACCGATGCCGTCGCTTCTCCCAGCTCCGTGTCTGAGGAATCTATTGATCTGGTCCCCATCTACGTTGGTGCCGTATCCGCGCATCCTCCCAGCTGGCAGGTTCAGCTCACCATCAATGGCACCACCGTTCCATTCAAAGTCGACACCGGTGCCGATGTGTCTGTCATCTCCGAGGAGGTCTACAACTCCCTTAGCACATCCCCGCAGCTCCAGCCTTGCCGGCACGTTCTCGTCAGTGCAGCCAACACCAACCTCGAGACATTGGGCCTCTTCTCCGCGCGGCTCGTCTTTCCCACCTCTGGTTCTTCACACACTTGCACCGTGAACGTTGCCAGAGGCCTGCGCGTATGTCTCCTAGGGGGCCCTGACTCCGTCGCTCATGGTCTAATCAAACGTTTGTTCTCCAGCGACACCGCGTCCGCTACACCACTTTCGACCGCTCCGGAGCCCAGTCAATCCACGGACGATGCGCCGGGTAGCTACTCCTCAGCTCCCGCCGGGTCAGAACCTCTGCCTCTGACGACACCTGGCGACGCTATCCCACAAGACATACGGCAGGAATTTCCGTCACTCTTCTCTGGTCTTGGGTCACTCAACGAGCCGTACAACATCGAGCTCTCACCTGATGCCAAGCCATCGTGTCTCTACGCTGCGCGAAACATCGCACTGCCGCTCCGCTCTAAAGTGGCCACCGAGCTTCAGCGCATGGAACAGCTTGGTGTAATCCGCCCTGTCGTGGAGCCCACTGACTGGTGTGGTGCAATCGTGGCCGCACCTAAGTCCAACGGCACGGTACGCATCTGTGCTGATCTGAAACCTCTGAACGAAGCCGTCCGACGGTCACACCATCAGCTGCCAACAGTAGACGAAACTCTTGGCCAAATCGGCGACTCAACGGTGTTCACGAAGCTCGATGCCAACAGCGGGTTTTGGCAGATCCCGCTGGACAGTCCCTCCCAGCTTCTAACCACCTTCATCACCCCCGCTGGTCGGTTTTGTTACACGAAGTTGCCGTTCGGCATTTCCTCTGCGCCTGAGATATTCCAGCAGCGCATGTCGAAGATCCTGGCTGGCCTGGAGGGTGTGGTCTGCCAAATGGACGACATCCTTGTCCATGGCCGCACTCGTGCCGAGCATGATAGTCGTCTCTACGCGGTGCTCCGACGCCTGGTGGGTGCAGGGCTAACCCTCAATCCGTCGAAGTGTGAGTTCGCCGCCTCCGACCTGTCCTTCTTGGGAGTGCGGCTCACTGCTGCCGGCATTCAACCAGGTGACAGCAAGACCTCTGCTATCCAGCGCTTCCGTCAGCCTCAAACAGTCTCAGACATCCGCAGGTTCATGGGTCTGGCGAACCAACTGGGAAAGTTCTCTCCCAATCTCGCCGCCCTCAGCCAGCCACTACGAGAGCTGTTGTCTAAAGGTCGCGCATGGACTTGGGGTCAACCACAGCAGGCAGCCTTCGACAACATCAAGGCAGAGCTCTGCAAGCCAGCCTGTCTGCAGCGCTACGACCCCAACTACGACACCAAACTATCTGCCGACGCCTCGTCCTATGGCCTCGGTGCCGTGCTCTACCAGCGCCGGTCCTCAGATGATGAGTGGTGTCCCGTCGCTTGCGCATCCCGGTCTCTCACATCGGCCGAGCGCAACTACGCCCAAATCGAAAAGGAAGCTCTCGCGATCACTTGGGCTGTTTCCCGCTTTGACACTTACCTGCTTGGCATGGCGTGCTTCCTCATCGAGACGGATCATAAGCCTCTCGTACCTCTTCTCAGCACGAAGCGCCTACACGATCTCCCAGCGAGAGTCCTGCGCTTCCGACTCCGCCTGGCACGATATCACTACCAGATCATTCACGTTCCAGGGAGCTACCTCACCAGCGCCGACGCTCTCTCACGCGCCCCTCAAGACGACTCCCCGAGTCGGGATGACATCACCATTCAGGCTGAGTGCGACGTGTTCGCTACTATCGCAGTCGAGAATCTAGCCGATCAGACCGTCCCGACGCAGCAGGTTAGAGACGCCCAGCAACAGGACGCTACATGTCAGCAGCTGCGAACCCTCATCCTCGACGGCTGGCCCTCCGCTATCCGCGATGTACCGCAGCCCCTCCGTGAGTTCTGGCCTGTCCGCTCTGACCTCGTCCTGCTCGATGGCCTGATTATGAAAGGCTCCCGGATCTATATTCCCCAGTGCTTGGTGGCCGATACTCTTCAGCGTCTTCACGCCGGTCACCAAGGCGTCACCCGTACAACCCAACGCGCCACAGTGTCAGTCTGGTTTCCTGGCATCACCGCACGCATTAAGGCTCTCGTGCAAGATTGTAGCACTTGCAAGGCCTTCCGCCCGCCGCCGGTCGAGCCACTGCTCGCTCACCCCACACCGCCTCGCGCGTGGCACACCATTGGCGTGGACCTCTGCCAGCTCGACCGCGCTCAGTACCTGGTGGTGGAGGACTATTATTCCCGCTATCCAGAAATTGCATCCCTCACTTCCACGACATCAGCACGGATCATCGACCATCTCCACTCAATCTTCGCCCGACATGGCATTCCAGCAGTCCTTCGATCGGACAACGATCCCCAGTTCTCGTCCGCTGAGTTTGCCCAGTTTGCAACCAGGGCCGGCTTCCGTCACATCACGAGTAGCCCTCACTACGCACAGTCGAACGGCGAGGTTGAGCGTGCCGTCCGCACCGTGAAGGCGTTCCTGAAGAAGTCCGCCTCAGCAGCTGACTTATATGATGCCTTGCTGGCATATCGGTCGACACCCCTCAGTTTCGCGCCGTACAGCCCGGCGGAGCTACTCATGGGTCGCCGCCTCGCAACGCCGATTCCATCACAGTCAGCCCAGCTCCAGCCCAGCTCAGTGGACACGGATGCCTTCCGTGCAGCCGACACAGCGCAACGCCAGAAGTCCGGAGCTCAGTACGACCTGCGGCACAGAGCGACTATCCTGCCCGCTCTCCCCCCAGGCGCGGACGTGATCGATGTCTCGACTCCAGGTCGCCGGGAGAGGGGTACAGTGGTAGCAAGATCAGCTGAACCCCGATCCTACATAATCCAGTTGTCATCCGGACAAGTACGACGAACCCGGCATCACCTGATCGCTATCTGACTCTCTCTCTCTCTCTTCCAGTCACTTTCTCACTGTGTGTTCGAGCACGTATGCACGTGCGTTTGTGTGTGCGTGCCGATATGTGTCTGTCTTTCTCTCGCTTTCTCTCTATTCCTATTGCTACTTCGAAGTAGTACCTTTACGCGGCTGAATAGTAGGCTTTGACTCCTCACGCTCTGGTTGGGCGATCCTGGATTAGGACGCTACTCTCAACCTCCTATTTCCTGGTCGCTCAATCATAACGCATTGCAAGAGTCCTAGTTCTCTCATGTGTATTGGCCCGCCGTCTTACTCAGTATTGTTTCTACCGTTCCGCATGTTTTTCACTTTCCCATCTTTAGTTCCTCTAGTTCCCCGGAGGGGGGAGATGTAGTATGAACTCTTTTACGCACTTTACTTGTATGCATGCACGTGCCGTTGCGACACGTGTTCACGCCCGCCATGTGGTCTTTACACTCCGAGCATGCGGGCCCCTCAGGTACGCATGCGAGGAACTGATCATGGTTGTTCTGTTTTTCATTAGTTAGGAGTTTGTTTGCACGAAATGAAGTAGAAGCCTTTTCGGTGTGTGTAGTTCTGTTGTTGTCGGACCTGGATGGTTGCTGTGCGATACACCCAAAACAAGGAGGAGCTCATGAGCTTAGAGAACGCAGGTGTCGGCTGAGTAAGTGCTATGAAGGCAGGTGTCGGCTGAATGGGTGCTATTGTGGGCATGCAAACCGGCTCCTCTACGCCGGTTACTTTTAAAACTGTATCCATGAGAGAGAAATTGCCACATCATATGTTGTGCAAACGGTGCAAAACATTTTTGGCATTTATTGCAGTTATTTGCAGTTACAGTAGCAGAAAGCCTTACTAAAGAGTACATAAGGATGGCATTGGCAGCACATGAGTATGAACAGCAGGTAATTTGGCATAAGATAAAGGCAGTAAAACAAACAAACAGTTATCAGGAGACACAGGGTGAGCAAACAACAGAACAATGTGAGCAAGACATCCAGCAACAGAGAAATATCTAATAAAGCAGACAATTCCTATTCTGTCATCAGTCTGTACTGTGTAGTCACTGTAGCCGGAGACTACTAACGAAAACCATACTTCACAAAACATACACGTAACTTGATTACCAGCATTGCCGCAACAAGTCCATCCTGACAAGTATCCTGTGCTCGTATTACTACAGATTAGGACATAGCCAGCAGATCAGTAATGGGCTTCAATGGACTATTGTAACTTGATCACCCAGGTAGTACAACGATACATACCAGCATAGGTTACCGGTTGGGATGTTGCGCAACACTTCAGTTACACCGGTACGATGATGCAGTCCGGTCAGGCTATGATCATCATGGTTTAATGTCAATGTGATCAAATCATTGCTCTGCCAGGGCTGGCCTAGAGCACCACCACCACGAGAGGTATCAGCACCGCGACCATACCAACCGTACACTTCACCCTGTGTGCTATGTACATCATTCAGTACTGGACTAGACGATGCACATAAGTACACATAGATACCGGCATACTGTGTGACATCTATACGTACCTTTATAGCACTACTACCGAACTGTTCCTGTATCGGTGAACTACATACTGAACGATACTCATAGTCATAGGACGACGACATACGGATGGTTCGGTTGTTGTTCGTGATCTGAATACAGTCATCACAGCGGTTGATATCAAACACAGGTACAGGTGCCGGCTGAGCAGGTGCTGGTGGAACAACACTGAATTTCACTCGACTACCTTTCAGAGAAACACCGGCAATCGTAGTGGAAACAGCGTATTCGCCGGCTGCAGCAGGACGACATTTAGTAACCAGATGTCCAGTAGATGATTGCTGTAGGGGCTCGCACTGGACTGTCTTGCCGTCCGGATTTGTCACACAAACTCCTACATCGATCTTCCTCAGCTGGTCTTGGCTGATAGTAGCAGCATCGGGCAGGTGCTCCATCTCTATGTCGATCTCAACGTCACTGCCCATCTTACGATTGCCTGAGCAACGCACTTTGTTCTTTGCTGCATCAGCACAAAGACCCGCTTTGCTGATGCCAGCCACGAGATCACGTGTGTCGCTTGCCGCAAAGACGATGCCGCTCACAACACATGGCTCAGCATCACTCTTGCCAATCTCTGCTGCACCGTTCAAGGCTATCACTAGCCAAGACGACATGCGCACAAAATCCACACTGTCCTGGCAAGCTTCCAGCATGCCTCTCACCACCTCCGTTTGTGACACACTGCCCTGCAGCCTAGTGAGTTGCTTCTCCAGAGGTCCAAGTGCCTGACTTCGAAGATTATCAAGTTGATTCAGAACACTGGTTTCACGTTTCTGAATAGCTTCTACCAGAGAACGGAAAAATAGCACAGCCTCTTCTGATGCAAGCTCTATCTGATCATGAAGGTTACGAATGGAGGCCTGTACTTTCTCAATGGAGCTCTCCAGAATGCCATCACTCTCAGACACACAGCTCAACAACAAATCATTCACTGATGCTCTCATCTTCTCTGCTGCAGCATTGATAGACACAAGATCTTGTTTGTGCCGCTCATGTTTTCCAGTACCAATGCATCGCTCACATAACAACTTCTTACACTTTGTGCAGAACTTGGTCAGGATACTGCTTGGGTGCAGTGCACAGCGATGTTGTGATTGAGTAGCTGAAGCAGCAGTAGTGGTCTCAGCAGTCTCAGTGCCTGCTTCAGTCAATGCAAGTACCTCATGACCATGTGTAGCTCGGGAGATCTTGTGTCCTTCAGTGTGAAAACTGCACAGATGACTGCTGCATGTTGCACAGCTCGAAACGGCCACTTTTACATCCATACATTCATCACACGACACTGCAGACTTCTGCTCTGCATTACCACCCTCTACATTGGCATAGCTATCTGGCAAAGACAGCATGGAAGAAAGTCCAATCTGCAACGGTGTTGAAGCCCTACACTTAGGACAGGTGATGGAGCCATCTTCATCAACATTCTGCTCAAGGCACGAGATGCACAGAGAATGGAGGCACTGAACCAGTTTAATCTTCTTGTTTTCACAGCCACATGCTACACAGCTCACAGGAGGCATGTCTCAAGCATGAATTATCCTCTAGTCCAACACACTCAGCTTCTCATTAATTGTTTTCTCAACAATCAAGCTGGCAAAGGGATACTGGAACCTCTCTGGGATCACAAATACAGCACGAGGAATCGCGAGAAGAAAATAACACTCGCACCAGGCGGTGAACACAGAGATAAAAGTGGCACGGTGTCAGTAGTAGATGTAGCTCTGCACAGCAGTCTAGTGCAATGTAGGCTACACACAGCATGTACACATGCAGACAGTTGTACTCTCACTGCATGTACTTTTCAGAGATTGCATGACAAGCTGAGCTGGCCCCAAGGCCGGCCAGGTCTGTCATGACAGGTAGCACAGACTTGGCTGTCAATGCACCTGCACCCACCCTGCACTGAACCATGACATTCACATTGTGTTATAGTCCACCAAACACCATACTGTCATGTACAGTGCATTGCATCACACAGACTGTCTCTAGTCTAGCACCACTACCACTGACCCTCCCCCCCCCCCATTCACACAGCCAGTCTCTAGCACCACTACCACTGACCACCCTACCCCCCCCCCCCTCCCCTATTCACACAGAAATAATTACTTACTTGGAGAGCACAGTGCCACTGAAAAGAGAGTTTCCTATGATGAAGGTAGAGACCTCCTGCAGTGAAAAACAATCAAAAGTGCCCCTTCCATATTCACCTTTGATATTTCTGACCTACCCAAGTTGGGTGTTTCGCCTTGCTGCTTCAAATTGTAGCGTTACTAGTAGACCGCAGTGCCAATACATTAACTGGTCTTGCCTTCGTCCTAGTATAAGAGGCGACGTTCTCTGTTGCCGTGGGACTTAGTTTGTGCACCGTCATTTTCACTGCGCTCACCTTCCCCTCTTTCCTCATTTACTGGGCCATGAACCTTTCAAGTGGGAAAGCTGTTGGTTTGCTCACTGGAGATGTGTTTGTTGTGAACCCTGCTAAGATTCTCTAAATTGTCAGGATCGTACGACCACACGGCACGAGGACAACTGTTTTCCTTTACACAGTATATTTCACTTCATCTGATAATTAACAATGAACACTAATAACACCAGCTATTTATAGCATGCAAAAACAGCGTACATGCAAAACATAAGCAGATAAAACTGGACACAAAAGCGTATACAGCAAAACGCACACAACGCATATAGCGTATGCCATGCAGCAACATCAGCGGTACGGCGGAGTCGAAATACAACATTTCAACGAATACAATGCCATAAGCGCGAAGGCCTTTCCCAATTGAGAACTGGTGGTTTACAACATTCTCCCCACCAAAGGGCTTCTCACCGCCGTACAACAATGCACACAAGTCAAAAACGATCCGGGGCTCTGACTACGCGCCCAGAACGCGTTATCTCCTGCTGCCGTGGTGGTGGTAACGGTGCTGACGGTTCATACGCTGGCTGCTGAGGGACGATAGCAGGTTGAGCGGTATCTGCAAGCCCAGGAGCCACGTCCTGTGACGATACTTCTAACGGCACTAACCTTTGGATCGGCCTCAACAGGGTACTGGTACTCAACTTAACCTTGGCAACACGACGCTTACCATCTCGACCAGGGAATAACTCGATGATCCGTCCCAAACGCCAGAACTGTTTGCGCTTGGTATCATCGAGAACAAAGACAACATCACCCACAGCTAAAGGGCGCGACATGGTCTGTTGGTGTTTGTTCAGCTGACTTAGGTACTCCACCTCCCAACGATTCTTGACATGCTCCAGTGTCCGACTGAGGTAACGCAATCTCGATGACATCTGCGCAGCGTCCAGGGTACCTGCTGGCTTCTCTGACGACATCCAGATGTCACCCATCATCATTGCAGGGGTTACTGGTGGCTCATCCAGGCTATCAGACACATAAGTTAGCGGACGACTATTCACCACTGCTTCAACCTCATACAAGAGGGTCTCAAGCTCCTGGACCTTCAGAAACGCTGTTCCCATTACCTTTTTCAAGGCACTCTTCACTGTACCAACCATTCGCTCATAGAAGCCTCCATGCCATGGTGCAGCTGGAGGATTGAACATCCATGGCACACCCAGTTTGTCAGATGCCGCCTTGAACGTTGTAGCGTTGTCAGACCTGATCCGAGACGGCAAACTACGTCTCGCGACAAACTTCCGAAATGCCATCAAGAATGACTCGGTACTTAAACTATCGACCACCTCCAAGTGAACTGCTCTGGTGGTGGCACACACAAACAATGCTATCCATACCTTTGGAGATGACTCACCACGGCGCACGTACAACGGACCAGCATAGTCGATGCCGGTAGTTGCGAACGGCCGCTCGTGAACAACTCGGTCTTCCGGCAGCGGCGGGCAGACTTCTGAGGCAGCCTTAGCCTTGTAGCGGCGGCATGTAACACATCGCTGAGTAATGTTGCGTAGCGCCCGTCGACCACCGATAATCCAGAATTTCTGACGGATGAACGACAAGACTCCTTCTACACCTTGGTGCATCCTTTCAACATGCATTTTCTCCAACAGCAACTCGGTCAGATGATGTTTGCCTAACAGGACTGGGTGCTTGGCTCCATACGCCAACTCGCTGTGCTGAAGTCGTCCCCCGGCTCTGAGCACTCCATGCTCATCCAGAAACGGTGCAAGCTGATACACCTTCGACCCAGGCTTCACTGGTTGACCTTGCTTGATCAGCTCAAGATCCTCAGCGAAACATGCGGCTTGAACGATGCGGTACAATACGTTGTCTGCTGCAAAATAGAGTTCAGCACGCGGCTCAGTGTGCTTCCACTGCAACATCCGAGTCACCATGCCCTGTGCCCTCGACCATTTACTGAATCGGAGCCACCATTCCTTATCAGATTCTCGACTACAGGTGGTGGCTGACACTCGTACTTCTACACTGGACTCATCTGTAGCTGCGGTTGAGGATGCGGTGGGCCAGTCATTGGGCTCCGTGATCCAGGTTGGTCCGCCCCTCCAGAACGGACTACGGATCTGCTGTGCACTACACCCACGCGACGGTAAATCTGCTGGGTTGTGAAGGCCTGGGCAATGGTTCCACACAATGCCGACCTTCTTCGATATCTCTTGGACTTGACTGACGCGGTTAGCCACAAATGTTTTCCATTTGTACGATGGATTACTGATCCAATGAACGGTAGTGAGACTGTCAGTCCAGCCACAGACTTGCGTGACGGTCACACGCAGCTCCTTCACCACAAACTCAGCGTAGCGAGCCGCTAGACATACTGCTTGTAACTCAAGGCGGGCTAACGTGGGTGGAGACACGGGTACCACTTTGGCCTTGGCAAATACCAAGTGCGACTGTCCATTTACGACTGCATACAAACAACATCCAAACGCTTTCTCACTGGCATCGGCGAAGGCATGAAGCGCAATCGGCGTGTCAAGATTGCAGCAAATCCAACGTGGTATGTCAATGCTCACCACTTCGGCCAACTCTCCCCACCATTGCGCGCATGCGGCTGCGATGCCATCAGGCAACTTATCATCCCAGTCGCCTCCGACTTTCCAGGCTTGCTGTAGCAGTATCTTTCCGGGCACAACTGCCGGTGCTGCTAGACCTAGCGGATCAAACACTGACGCAACACACTTGAGGAGGGATCGCCGGGTCCAAACAGACGGCCTATCGGACTCGCCTAGCGCTGCTATGCTGAGCAAGTCATCACTGGCTTTCCATTTCAGACCGAGAACTTTATCTCCGGCCTCTGGATCGCACGGGATTTCGTTGCCTCGCCACTTGCGTAACTCCATGCCAGCATCCGTAAGCACACGCACGCTGAACTCTTGCATCTCCTTAGCTTCCGAGGCATTTGAGACACTAGAGACCAAATCGTCAACGTAGAAACTCGTGAGCAAGAGATCAATACGATCTCGCTCTTTGGGTGCAGACAACGCCCGTAGCTCCTTCAAGTGATGCTGAATCACCGCAGTAAGCATGTATGGCGAGCAGTTCACGCCAAATGGCAGTTTCGTTAGCCTCCAGGTTAACAGTTCATCGCTGTCGCTTCGACCGGGCCACAAGAAACGTAGGTACGGACGGTCTTCGGGATTAACCGCGACCATGAAGAAAGCCTTGCGGATGTCCGCTTGCAGCGCGCTCTTATATTCACGGAACCGTAATAGCATACCTGCGAGACTCGGCAATAGCGACGGTCCAGGGTCAACCATGTCGTTCAACGACTTGCCATCTGGAGCCGTCGCCGAGGCATTGAACACCACTCTTAACTTCGTGGTTGCAGCGTGCTCGCGGAATACACCATGATGCGGTACATAGTACCCGGCATCGCTCTCACATGGCTCCAGCTCAATTGCTCCAAGCTCGCGGTACTCCCTGATCAGCACATCATCATAGAGCGCACGCTTCCCATTCCTCTTCAGCTTTTCAAGAAGCCGCGTTGCGATGACTCTAGCTTGGGCAAAGTTATCCGTTGGGCGACGCTCATTTCGCCACAAGAGACCCACTTGGTACCCGCGGCCCTGGCGACATAGCGGGAAAGATGGCAGGTGCTGATGTTGTTCTGGAGGTTCATCCAACTGCCATAGTTTGTCGATGTGGGCTGTGACACATGACACGGTCACCGGCTGACTGTTTCGACTTGGTGCAGACGCTGGACCAGATAATACATTACCTATCTCTGTGTTCCACACCGTCTCACCATTAACTTCCTTCTTGCTGTGCAGTACCGCGTTGATATAGTCTGCACCAATCAGCATATGTATTTCGTCTGATGTCCCTTGTTGAGGCTTGTCACTCAGCTCTACTCCCCAACTGTGCCACTGCGCAATGGTCTGCGGACTTGCGCACTTCAGGTCCAGCTCAAGCGTTGGTTTCACGAACGCGCGTACCCGAATGCTAGCGGAGCTACCCTGGATCGTGATGGCGTACTTATCCATGCGCTGTTGGGTTGGTTCCGCGCCGAACGGCTTCACCTCTACATTTTCAACCCCAACGTGTTCTGCATCGATTGCTGACACCAACGCTGCAGTC